CGTTGTCAACGTCTTATATATGTATACAAGACTAACACATATCTAGTAAATGCTAGGGCATTCTTGAAGGAACAGGATATTCAGAAACAGGTGGCGTGATACTAGCCACGTGACCTCGCTGACGCAACAATATATAAACAAATATTTTGAAAAATACTTGCAATAAAATTTTAGCAATCCATTATAATCTACACAACGAATTGTGTCAATGTTGACACTGTCTTCCGTTTTCTATTTCAGTAGTACACCTAGAGTTGCCGAATCTTTTTATAATTAAATATATTTAATCCCGTAAGGATCATTTACTTTACTTGCTTATGTCGGGATATTACACTGTAGTATTTTTTTTTTTTTTTTTACCAAAGAAGATTCTAAAGCACATCTATGTATTAAACAATCTTTAAAGTTATAAACAGATTGATAAGGATGTTGTTGTTTGTTTATTCGTCAAATTCTTAAAGCCCAAGAGTTACCTGCTAAAAATGACTGTTTGGTCTTATATTTTTGGGAAACACAAATCTAAGACGTTGTAACAATGCAATTGAACAGAAATTTATATAAATTGAAGAGCACCTATTCAAAGCTTTATTTACGAGTTCCCAACAAACTAATAATATTTATATCTAATATTCCAAGTTTTCATAACTGAAACGTAATACACATGTTATGAAATTCCTGAAACAGGGAAAGGAAGCCGAATTTCTGCACCACTGAAGTCAATAAAGAGACGTACAATACTGAATCAGTGTGGGAAGTGCTGGATAACTTTCCTTTATAGTATGTGCTAAGGGACGTGCCATCCATCTGGGCAAAACATCCACTGGAAGTGCCTTGTATAAAGATATAGCAATCAACAAGTGTGGTCCGCCCGGGCAAAAACATCTAGGAGAAGTATCTTGGATACATAGGATTATGAAAGGTATAAATTACTGTTATGACTGCGATCATGAGGGTCATCATAACAAGCCATCCTAAGAAACAAGACGTAGTACAAACATAGTGATGGTAACTCATAATATGGCATCAGTAAATGAGCTAAAGAGAACAATGAAATAACAATACGTGGCTAGGGATTAAGGACCGTGAAGTGTATTTGAGAAGGCTAAGTCTGCACAGGCAAAAAAAGGAAAGCTCCTTGGGTTATGTTGGATTATGCCAAGTGCGGTCCATCCGGGCCAAAAAGTACAATCCACCTGAACAAAAAACATCCAATAGAAGCACCTTGCATAAGATATAGATACCAACAAGTGTAGTCCATCCAGGCAAAAAACATCCAGGGGAAGCTCCTTATGTTGCATTAGATTATGCCAAATACAGTCCATTCAGGGAAACATCATCCAGTGGATGCACCTTGCATGAGAAATATATGATCAACAAGTGCGGTCTGCTCGGGTAAAAATATCCGGGGAAACACCTTGGATACTGAATATTATTGTATAATTCATTGTTCAGTACTGTAATGATTATGACAACTATATCTCTCTTCCTGCAGAGTGGATATACATGGGCTAGAAAGCTATATTTTGTTTTTCAAAACCCATTCAGGAGGAAACCTCCATGGTCAACCATTCCAATGGTCCCATGATCTGTTACAAGAGAAGGGGGGAATATGCATTGGGGTGTCTGGAGGAACAATGCACTGGGGACAGTGCAATGGGTGTGTGCAATTTTCTATTTTGAAAAGCAGATAAGACCTCGATTGTAGGAATCACAGGTCAGCAGGGATGGGCAGAAATTGCCATCTGCTTTACTCATGAGGTCTATGAATGACGGTCCTTTATAAATGAAACTAGAAACTTTTAATTAAAAAATACATAGGTACACATATCACCAGACAAGCTGCTAGTGGTCTTACAGAAATCCCACTTCTCAAAAGTGAGTGTTATAGAATTATTCATATCTAGTGCAAATATATTATGAAGCATACTGACCAGACAATACCTGCCACCAGGTGGGATCCTGAAAAACGATATGTATCAATTAAAAACATATAAAAAAAATAATATGTTGACTTACCCCAGTCAAAGGCGAATGGATGTGTGTAGAATTGCCACAAGAGGAAGATGATACCTGCCCGAGGAAGACACAACCAGGTTGTGTAGTAATTATTTGGTCGTCAAGAAATTAATGTCGCATTTTGGAACACTTTCATTAACCAACCCCCAAAAAACGTACATCAGGTATAATAGTTAAACGAACCACCTAAACGTCACGTTAGTGTAGCCTATATAATGTGTAAAGTTTAGAATACTCTAATCTCTTATAGTGATGGCACACATTCAGCATGTAATTCTGTTTAAATACGAGAAGGTAAACAACACCTCTTTAGCCACAAAGAATATCAAAGAAGTTTATGGTAATGTTCTGAACATTCGTAAGTGTCAACAATGGTTCAGCAAATTTTGTTCAGGTGACTTTAGCCTTAGAAACTGTGATGGCAGGGGCCAACATATTAGAATTGATATTGATGCTCTGCAGATGCTTGTTGAGTCTAACCCCAGGCAACGCAATCATGAAATGGCCCTGAAATTGCATGTCTCTCATAAAACAGTATGTAAACATTTAAGGAATGTGGGAAAACTCCATAAAGAATGTGTTTGGAAAGAGGCAAGCATGAGCCAGTTATCTATGAAAAGGAGAGTCCAAAAACCCAATGAGTGAAAATGATGGGCAAAAGAGTGTACACTTGATAACACACACAGACCTGAAGAAGGATTGAATGGCAATGCTCGACCCTCGAGGATGAACTGAAGAAAATGACGTAACACTGGAGCAGTTGGAATATGAAGATAGGCATCCATCACAACAATTGCATCACCGAGAGCCCTGAAACACCCCTCCCCCCCACACACACTCCATGGAGAAGCGAGGTGACTCCAGATAAGAGTTCAACTGGGACAGGTCTACAACGGGTCTGCAATCCCGTCTTTCAAGGGAGAGCAATTAGATTTGAGTAAAACCCCATTTGAGTGGGCACCACCCAATCAAGATCCCTATTTGTGTAGTAGATCTTGAACTGACTAGGCAAGAAAACTGGAAGAGGTACGATCCCAAGAAGGAGATCTGGGAAGTGAATGGGGGGGGGGGAGGAGGGAACAGAACTGAAAGCAGAAACCTTTAGACAGAACCTGTGGAACCAAAATACTAAGCAGAGAAGACCTAAATTATCACGTGAGAAAATTAGGTCAATCAACACAAGTTCACATAAACTCGCTAAACATGAGGAATACATGCTGAAAAACATACCAGTCAATCCCGGGAGTTGTTTTAGAGTAGTCAGTTCAGGTAGTGGATGTTGCCTTCCTTTGGACCACAATTCAAAGTTAGGGATGACCATGCTTGAATCTTAGACCATATTAGACCTTGGCTTGACCATATTAAACCCACTGTGTGCATAAAATGTCATTAACTTCAAACAATTTATCTAGGATAACCATTTCTTTCTAAGTAATTTTATGACATACTTGATTAAATAGTTATTCAAAAGAATAATAAAAAAATGTTTACAGAATAGCATGATACAATTCACTTATACTTGTCACAATAAATCTCAAATAAATCAATTAAGACATGATATGTATAACATATTTCTTCCATGTGTCCAGTTTGATATATGTGAAAGTACTTTTATTAACATAGCCAACACAAAAGCAAAATGTATGTGCCCTGAGAAATAAACTTGTTTTATCAATTCATGCTCAGAGTGAACTTAAAAATATTGCACCTGATAGACCTCATTTTCATTACTGAGGTCCACTTATTAAGTAATGCCACCAATCTGATCCATGAAAGCTAAATTTAATGAGTTCTTAACAATGGTTTACACTTTTTCAAATGCATCTTTAAATGTTAAAATGGTCAGTGTTGTGTTTGTCATACATCTATTGCCAATTGTTTTATCAAATACATCTTTCAGAACATACTAAAACCATAATTTCTATGCTTAAGTTGTCTAACACACACTTCATGATTTAAAGGTCACAATGACTTATTTATTTAAATTATATACATTTTTCAATAAATAGAAAAATAGTTTTAATCATGAACAAGATTTATTTGAAAGGAAGGGTTATCACCTTAACTATAATGTTTGATTCTAGCTAATAAAAAGCTATGTGATTATTAAAACTACAATAAAAATCACTTTCTTATAAATGATAAAAAGTTTCTAAAACAAGAGTTTTAACCAAATGTCCATTAAAACGTTTTTAATAAGATTTAGCTCAATATACAAGTTTGTTATTCACATAATACTGAAAAAGACAAAAATGGTCTTGAACGTTTTAATTGATTGACATCCATTTTATATATAAAATCAAACTTTATAAACAAAAGCATTTTAAAATCATAGTTGGTGGTGCTGTCAGTTTATGGGTAACTGTAATACTTTATTTACATGTAATTCTTTAACAAAAGGCAAGTCTTCTATCAACAGTAATAAACAGTGTGGCATAAATTAGAAGTCACATCAAATTTTTTGGTTGTCAGAAAGCTTGAATGTATTTAAGTTCCAAAAAAAATCTGTTTCCTTATGAGTAATAACCTTCCCATAATTGACTGAATGTGGTAAATGTTAAGTTTTAGATGTCTTGCAAATTAAGGTTAAATTCGGTAGGTGATTTATCTCCATCACGATGTGGGCATCCTTTTGTATTTCTCACAAGAGCACATTTTACCATTCCCTCATTTAGGTTTGTATTCTAGTTTTATTTTTAGGTCTTTTATGTGGAACATTTTAGATTTCTGGCCTTAATGTTTGGAATTCAAAAATATGTCTAAAGTAGGGAGATGTTATTGGGTATGCTCTCTCTCCTATAAATGACAAAATTAAATTAAATATTTTATATTTCATCACCATTTCCCAACACTTACGAGTAATTTTTTTCATTACAAAATTTTTTATTCAAATCATCATGAACTTAAGTTACAAAGTGATGAAAGAAAAATTAAGAACATAGTTAGTCTGTGTTTTCCTACAATACAATACTTATGCTTGGCAGAAAAAAGTTCTAACACTGAATCAGGAAATAATAAAAAAATTGTATGAAAAAGTACTATCAGCTATCTTTTTAAAATGTCCTTCCAAGAAATATACTGTCCTCACAGCTGTGTTCTGGAAGGGTGATTTCTGTAAACCCAAGTTTGGAATAAAAATCTACAATGTTTTTATCACCAACTGTCACTTCACAGAATACTCCATGAGAACCTGAAAAAAACCCAACAAGAATCTTTTATTTCTATTCTTGTACATAAAAGTCTAATTTGTTATGTTTTTAATCGAAATAAAACATTTTGTCAAGTGACTTTAATCTTTTGGACACATATTACACTCATTTTTGATGCTACAAATCTGAGCGAGTTTGAACCTATTGTAGTCTCATTCTTGAGACATATTGATCACAAATCTTCTAGCACCTATAACAAAAAAAGAGTAAGTTCCTGAATGTCTCAACATAAATTCAATACTATACAGGGTATTTACTTTTTATCATTTATTAGTTTCTCATTTTTTAAATAAAGAATACTTTTTGTTAATAATAAACACCTGAGTCTAGTATTACTTATTAAAGTAGAAAAACCTCAATTTTCTTTTTAATCTCTCTTCTTTACATATCTTTAATGAGTATAAAACTAATTAAAGACATATAATACAAAAATATTACACTCCATAAATTAGCTGATGTTTCCAGTATGATGCACTTTATAACAGTTTATTACTGATGTTATGTTGTTCAATAAACATTAAGTCTGCAAAAGTAACTGACACCAGCAGCTAGTGTTTGTTTAGTAAATAAGGTATACTCTGTTATTTCTTATTGTTACTTTTACTAACGGTTTTGACTAGAATGCAATTATCTAATTTTATGACTTTATAATTATATTCTTTATTAATATATTTTGATTATAGAAATTGTTCTGCATTATTAGCTTGATGTATGTATTTAGCATTAACATAAAACCTCCATGCTGGCCAAACCTTGCAAAATGTTATCGGGATTATGGCAGGAAATATTATAAACAGTGAAAGAACCCAACTGATGAAACAATGTATTGTAATCGTTATGAATAAGAATGTAAGGAAAGCAAGTTTAATTGTCTATACTCATTACCAGGTTGATGTTGAGTTTTGCTTTAAGTAGGTAGCTTGTTCTAATCAAAAGTTAATAATATTCTGTTTTACACATCATTATATGTTAGCAGTATGATACAATAGTAACAGTTTTTCTCTCTTGTACATACCATTACACTTATCTATAACAGACTTGATGACAAACATTTGATTAGAGATTATTCCACATATACACCATTACAGTTATCTGTGATGCATTTTATTATATTTTGTACACATCAATACAATATGGTATATTTTGGGTTTAGCAACGTAGTATATTTTTAGTATTGCATTGTATGCTGATCTCTTCAACTGCCCCTTTCACCTATCATTTTACTTATTAAATATTTTAGTATTTAGTGAAAATATCAAGCTTTAGTGTTTAGTATGTTACTGTCAAAAGTAAACTGTTTATACTAAATTAAGGCAGGCCAGCTATAATCGTGAAACACTTGCATAATTAAAGTTTACTAACAAATTAAATTGAAAATGTTTCATTTTCCAATTAATTTCTTGATAAACATATATTAATTTGGTGTTTATTAGAAGCTATAATATATGAAAGTGGAATGTCATGATAAGGTTAAAGATGTTCCTTTATTGCTAATTGGAATAATCACATACACACAGCTATATAAAATTTCTAGCAAAGTAGTCCAAAATATACATCTTTTAATGTGAGAAAAGGTTGAAAGTACTTTTATTTGTATCAATCCACTGCATTTATCTTGATGGCTATATAAAAACTGCCCTTAACTATAAGTATAAACTCCATTACTTGGGAAGAAAAAAGGTAGTAAACTGAGACTTAGTACTGAACAGAAATATTATAAAAAATGAAACATATTAAACTATACATAGTGACACACTAAAAAAAAGATAATATATAATATCAATAACAAAGCTTAACATTCAAAACTACTATTACTCTACAAGTCAATAAATTCTAATATTCAAGGTTATTGTATAAAAGCAAAGTTTAACACTCAAAGCCACTATTTTATAAGCAAGGAAAGTAACATTTCAGGTTACTATAAAATAAGCTGAAATTCAAGATTACTACAATTAAAAGCCATTATAAAAGTTTACCAATTTAAAAACAGAACTGGCATCAAGGTCTAAATTTCAAAGGTATAAATTTTCTTATTCCAGAGCAAATTTCTAGATATAATAATTAAACATTGTTGTTACCACTCAAAAGAAGAACTTTTAATAAATTATCCATCATGGACAGAAACAATATATAATATTTACAAACAAAGCCATAGTTATACTTGTTATGTTATCGTAAAGGCAAGATCAGTAAAAATCTGTACATACCATTGGCTTTTAATGCCGAAAAAATACATGCAAGAAGACGTTTGGGTATGCTCGTGTCCAGCACAGATGGCATAAGTGTGACTTTCAGAGTAGAAGGGTGGTTCTTGTACACATCTTCAGGAGTGCTCAACTTGAAGTTGTGAAAGCTGCTAATTATTTCCTACAATTGTTTACAGACAGTAGGATATCTCATAATTATCAAGCAAGTCACAAAGAATATTAAAAAATGTTTAGTATTTCTAACAATTTATGCATTAAATGTTGTAGAGAAATAAATCTGTTATCCCAAAAATAGCTTGTGCAAAACTTTATACTATTCATAAGTGGTACTTCTTAAAAAACTAACTGCATTTCATACATAAAACAAAAGATGAACAAAATCATGGTGAAACTTTCTATTCCTGTCACAGGTAAAATACAAATTAAACACAATCATGATAGATAAAGTATTGAAAATAATTGCTCAATAACCAATCATTGAGATATAGCTGAGCAGAATCACAGGTATACCCAAACAATGTTGTACAGCTGAACAAAATCATTGGTATATCCAAACAATATTGTATAGTGGAATAGAATCAAACACCAATGAAATATTGTAAATAACTGTTCACAGACCACATATAAACTGAAAAGAATCAGAGATATACTCACTCAGACACTGTTGTCTAGCTTAACAGAATACTCAAACATTTTTGTCTGGCTGAATATAATTATTGGAATACTTAACCATTGTTGTTTAGCTGAACATAACAATTGGTATATTTAGACATTGTTGTTAACTGAAGAGAACCACTGTTGTTTAGCTGAACAAAATCATTGGTATACTTAACCATTGTTGCTTAGCTGAAGAGAACCATTTGTATACCTAACTACTGTTGTTTGGCTGAACAAAATCATTGGTATACTTAACCATTGTTGTTTAGATGAGAAAATGCATTAGCACACCTAACCATTTGCACTGTTTGAAATTACAAAATTACTTTCAACAGTCATAAATGTTGTTCATATATCAGACCTCAAGTTCAACTTTACGAAAATCCATTCTCACAACACAGCACAAGTACCAATTTTGGGTTTTGTTCTAATCTTCTGCATTGAATGACTGATACACTTATATAAGTTAAACAATCATAAAATTAACAAAATGCATTAAAAAACTAACCATGGAGAATTGAAACGTGAAGCTAATAAAGCATGTAGTATAGGTAAATTTGTACAGTGCACCATAGAGGTTATGCATGCTATGTAGTACTAGCCATAGCTTATATATATTTCTGTGCATGATGTTGATTAGTTGGTGTAGTTTTTGTACCCATTGAGTATAGTTGCTAGCATATATTTTTGTGCAAAAAAATCATGATTCAACATTTGCAACATAATCTGAATTGTCACAAGAGTTATTGGAAACATTTCTCATCATGCTTCTTGAAATGTCAGGACTGTTTAATGAGATGTTAATCTGCATTTTTATATATGCAGGTATTGTGTAGATTTACATTTTGAGTGGAAAGTCTGTTTATAAAATGCAGAATTTTGCAAAAATGTGATGTCTGTATATGATATACAAATTCAGAATGTTGCTTTATATTTAGTGCTCCAAATAACTGTTTGCACCTGAAATTACAAAAATATTTCTAAAGAAGTGAAAACTGAGATTGAGAATGAGTTATACTCATGACATTTCTTCTGAAATTTTAACTACCTAAGGTACCACTTTTCATTGGTTAACAAGGGGAAAAAATTAGGCAGGACTCTTAGGCTAGCCCGATTGGCATGTAAAAAGTTCATGATCTTTTTATTGCCAATTGTTTTAGAAGTTCAGAATTAAGTTTTGTATAACAGAGTTATAATTTCTTTAGTTTCAAACTTAATTACATACTAGAATTTCAGAACAAGTGGTCAATATCTTATGCTTCAAACAACTGTTCACAAGTGAAGCTCATGTTGAGAACAGCTTCACATCTAACAATTCAAAAACTGTTTGCATATTAAATGCAATTGAGGACAAGAGATTTATGTCTAGTTCTTTTTCAAATTCTTTACATCTTTGAATTAAACTAATGTGCAAATTTTCAATACATTATTTGTATAAAACACCATGCCATAGACTTGCCATTTTGAAAGATTGGCAAAACATGTTAACAATATTCTGATTGATCAAAAAATGCAGTACATTAGAACACAGATAATATACACTGTTGTGCAGAACTGAAGTACGCTAGAACTTATTTATTTAAGCTCAACTTGAGGGTGTTGTATTTTTGAATATGCTATTTGAAAGACAATAAAACATTATCCATATTCCCTTTCTCCCCAGTTACTGTGAATCTCGTGAAAAACCACGGATGACAACCTGCTAATTGGCAGAAAATTATTATCCCTTGAGAATAAATGGTCAAGTTTAAAGCTGTTTACTGATTAAATAAATCACATGAAGAAAGACCTTGTATTGTAATACTTCAAACAACTGTTTACTAATAAGTGCAAGAGCTTTACTCCTATGAAGTAGATGACACTAACCTTATCATAAGAATAACTAAAAGATGTCAAATATTAGAAAATGTTTATAATACTTCAATAGTTTAGTAACAACTACAATGGGATTTATGATTTCACTGGGTTTTACCTCTGCCGGAGTAAGCATATCTCCACTCTTCTTCTCTGAAGCAGGATACTTGACACAAAGTTTAGGGATCCAAAATGTTTCAGTCTTCTTATGAAACTGTCGAGCATCAAGGGAAGCTAAGGCATAGCCACAGATTCCATTCTCATCCTCCACAATAAAACAGTATTCTGGTGAGATAGAAAGGAAAGGACCCACCAACCTAAATGAAACAAAAACAATTCCCCAAAAGTTTTTAAGTTTATGTTTTAAGTAAAAAGCTCCTACTACTGTGGATACTTTCAAATCAAGTACAAAGTTGGAATTCCTATAAGTACTACAGAAGTTATAATTTTCCTATACTGAAAATGCATTTCCAATTGGTACTTACCTTGCTTTGCAGAAATAGCTATTATCATATAGTGCTGCCCACTCATCTGGAATTGATCGATTCCAGTGCGTCTTGCATGCAAATCATCATGTGACAACCCTCCACCAATAAGAGTGTGACATACTCTCTTGACTCATATGATTCCCTCTAGTCAGTTCTACCAAACTATCACTTCGAATTTTGGCAGAAAATAGAAACACAGGTTTTCAGTGGGGAGGTAAGTACCCATTGAAAATATATTTTCAGTATAGGAAAATTATAACTTACAATATGGTACAATACCTCCGCTTACAGAAATAGTTAGAATCCCACATTAAACAAGGGAAAAAAGAAGCATCCATCTAAAGAGTCCAAAGGACACTCTCAAAGAGGAAATCTTTGGAGTCGAAGATCATACGCGGGAGACTGCACCACTTCTGTACCAGGTATACTCTTCATCCAGTGTGGAGAAAGGTGTTGCAGATACGGCCGGAAATAGGGAGCAGCACATCCAATAGGGAGAGAACTATGGTTGAATAGGGATCCAAACCACATGGTATGTAGATCTCAATCCCATAATACATAAATGTGGGTGAGTGTAAAAGGATGTGCCTCCAGGTGTAGAGTGGCTAGGGCATGATGTACTGAACACGGCAAGTCAAATATATCCAACACCCAGGCTGCTGGGAACTGACATCCACATGGGAGTAGGATGAGGATCATATCAACAGTATGTCCACTACAATCCAAAACCCAGCCATCTGGTGAGGGTAAGAAAGAGGATCATACCATCTTCACCTCAACTTCATGAGACACTGGAAGGAATCTTGTACCCCCTGATCCATGAACAGGATACATGATAATAATGTGAGAAATTGATTGATTGATCCAGGAAACCCTCATCCAGCATCGAAAAAAATGTCTGTGTAATGTAAACCATCTCACTGAAAATTAAAATGACAGTAACCACCCAAAGAGCAGTAACATCCTTGGAATAATAAGAACATCAAGGGATATTGGAAGAACAACAGTAATCTGCAAGTACCTCCATCATGGATGGAGGAACAAGAGTAGAAATGAGTGAGAGAATAGAGACATTTGTAATACATGTGTGAGGACTTATCTTGATTGGTTCAGCTCAAAATTCAAAACCCAGCCACTGGGAATCAACATCCACATGGGGTAGGATGAAGGATCCCAATTGAAGGGGTAAACTGCAATTTTGATAGCTCACTCCAATGTTACATAGTGGAGGACATTTCATCATCTACGCAAGCAAAACACCACTGCCCTACTCTCAACTGAATGGTTTTATTATAATTTGTGCATATTTAGTATACACTGAGTGGTCACAAGTAAATAGACATCTAATTTTTCGTCATTTAACTGATTTATGCTAACTAATTTGTGTTAACAGAGCACTATATAAATGAAAATGGTCCGCCCACTAATTATCTTGTGCTACAACATGCCTAGAACTCAAGGTTCTCTTGAATTGTCAGATTTTGTTAGAGGAAGGATAGTTGGTCAAGCAGATGGTGGAATAAGTCAGCGGCAAATTTCGCAGAATTTGGGAATCCCGCTTTCGACAGTCAACAGAATCATTGTACAGTTCAGGAAAAGAAACAACTGAGCAGCATCCGGGTCGTTCTGGTCCATCGGAGAGGCCAAAAAGGGCTGTCAAGAGGAGCATCGACTGCAAAAGTGGCCGAAGTTGGTGGGATGAGCCCGAAATCTGTTCAATGGATTCTCCACAGATTGGGTTATCGTTGCAGAGCAGCTAGATGGAAGCCCTTATTAAGACCTGCCAATATAGTCAGAT